AAGAAATCTAAATACAGGAAAGACAAAAAACTTACAAAAAGAGACTTTTGCTACATTAGTAATCTAATGTATACAAAATATATTCTATTACTGCAAGTATTACACTATTTCTTTTTAAGAGAACTAAAGGTATTCTGGAGATCAAATGATTAAAAACAATAGGACAGAGAGGCCCTAGGGCTTTCAATTGAAACTTGGTAGACATCCGCGAGAAGATGTTTTATGCCATTATATCTATAGGCTCAAGCTAATTTGGATTTTCACAAGAAGATATTGTAGTTTCTACTATAAAGAAAATCAATGACCCTGGGGCGGGGCCAATTTTGACCCTTAGGCTTTTATTTGAACAAACTTGGTAGGCATCCACTACAAGATGTTTCATGCCAAATATCTAAGCCCTAACTTTTTTGGATTTTCTCATGAAGATTTTTTTTTAGTTTTTACTATATACATATAAGGAAAATCAATAACCCTTGGGACAGGCCAATTTGGACCCTAGGGCATTAATTTGAACAAACTTGGTGAACATCAACTACATGTAGAAGATGTTTCATGCCAAATATGTAATCTATATGTAGTGCTTTTGCATTCTCACAGGAGAATTTTTACAAACTTGGTAACCACCCATTAGAACTAATATTTCATGCTCTTAATATCTAAGCTCTACCTCTTTTGGATTTTCACAAGGATTTTTTTTTAATATTTTACTATACACATATAAGGCTAATCAATGTCAACACTGACATAATGACATTATGACCAGTGGGACAATTGCTTATAGCTTCACTTTTTTTCTTTAAAAAGTGGAGCTAACAATGGCTAAGAAATATGTGAAAGAAATAAAATTTTATACAGAAAGTTTATTGGTAATGAATAAAATCAAAACAATAAAGTAAATATAAATGTATAACAAATAGAATACTAACAAAATAAATAAATATCACAGTTTAGAAACATATCCCTGTATATTATCTAATTAACATACATCCCTTTCTTGACAAAGAAAAAGAAAAACAAAGAAACCAAGACAAAAGCAGTTTATAATTAGAACTATCACTAAATGTGATATTAATACCGGCAAACAGCCTTTATTCCTAAAGAACAGTCAGGCCACACTTTACTATTTGTGTAACATTTGTATTACCAAATGCAACAATATTGATACAAAATTATGGACAAAATTCCAAAACTTTAATTATAAAGGTTCAGGTCATATAAAGTTCAAGGTCAAGTTGACAGAAACATGATATTACATAAACTTTTAAACACAAGTATCAAATGCAAATATATTGTAGATTAAAGGAAACTTATTGCTAATGTCCAATATGAGGATATAACACTATAAAACAATCATAGGGGTGTGGCCAAAGCACATTACAACTTTCAGAACTTAAGTGTGTTTGCTGGAATATTGAAGGATTGAACAATAAGATATTTGATAAAGATTTGATTGATTTTCTTAAATCTTTTTATATTATAGGTTTTGTAGAAACATGGTTGTTAGAAAGTAACCAATTATTATCAAATGAATTGTATGAATATAATGAATACTTTATACAAGGTGTAAAACATTCAAAATATGGTCGTCCAATGATAGGAATAAGTATTTTTATTAAGAAATCTTTGAATATGTTTATAAAACAAGTTGTAACAAATTGTGATTTTTGTACATTTATTGTCATTGACAAAAATTTGTTTATTGATAGCATAAAAAGATAAAGTTATTTGTATTGTTTATTTACCTCCGGATGGTTCACCCTACTATGATAGACAAGAACTTAAAGGTATTGACCTTCTTGAACATAAAATATTAGAAATACAAGAAAAATATAATGTAGATGTATTTGTTTGTAGGAGATTTAAACAGTCGTATTGGGAGGGAAATTGATAATCTTGGTTGCATAGATAATGCTCCTGTTTATGATGAATATAGGGATATATTAGATGATGAATATATACAAAAGAGGGTTAGTAATGATACAGGTGTAAATAAATTTGGCAAAGATTTTTTAAATTTTTGTAAATGTTACAATTTTATTATTGCAAATGGAAGATTGTTTAATGATTGTAACCAGGGGGCTTTTACTTATATAGGGCAAAATGGTAATAGTGTTATTGATTATTTAGTTGTGAGCCATGACACTATAGATGATATTAGTGCATTTGAGATAGGTACAAGGAGTGAATCAAGTCATATGCCTATTGTATTTTCTATAAAAATAAAAAATCTATGTAGAAATGATACGATGGTAAGACTGAGTAATGAACAAATTGTTAGATATAAATTTTCAGAACAACGTAAAATACAATTTTTGGAAAATATTGAGTTATTACTCAATGACAATGTTGTTGAAAATTTAATTAGAGAATGTAGATGTACTAATGTAGACGAAAATCAAATAAACTCTGAAATTGTTGAGATTCTTCTAAAATGTGGTGAATGTTGCAAACAAGTAAATAAAATATCCAGTAATTATCAACCAGAGTGGTTTGATCAAAGCTGTAAAACCGCAAAATTTGAGAAAAATAAGCGCTTACGGGAGTATAGAAGAAATCCAAATGACAGTAATTTAAGTGTTTATATAAACAGACTAGAAATTTTTTCAAAAATCAGTGTGAGAAAAGTAAAACAAATTTTTATAATAAACAATTAGATGAACTTACGGAAAATGTTAAAGACTCTAAATCATTTTGGAAAAAATTTAAGAAAATGGCAGGGAAAAAACAACAAATTACAAATTCTATTTCTAACGATAATTGGGTACAACATTTTGAGGAATTGTTTAAGTCAAATAATAATGATATTGAATGTATTGATATAACAGAAGTAGTTGAAGGTTTAGATTCTGAAAGTCTTGATGAAATTAAGGAAGATATATTTAATGAAGAAATCTAGCTTATATGAAGGATTATTGAAAACAGTTAAATCATTGAAAAAAGGGTTTAGTAGTTGGGAAGATGGTATTATTCCTGAATTTTTTATTTTTTCAATTGACAAATTATTACCTATTTTGTATAACTATTTTAACAAAATTTATAATAAAGGTTTTTTTCCAGAATCATGGACAAAGTCCGTAATTGTTACAATTTATAAGAAAGGTGATAGAAATAATCCAAATAATTATAGAGGAATATCTTTATCAAACATTTTGGGAAAAATATACACTTGAATACTCTCTAGAAGACTTAACTTTTTTGTAAATGTTTATGGAATAATCAACGAGGAACAGGCAGGTTTTAGGGAAGGGTATTCTACTGTTGACAATGCTTTTATTTTGCAATCTATTGTAAGTAAACAGTTACAAAAAAATCGTGGTAAATTGTATGTAGGCATGATTGATTTTAAGAAAGCCTTTGATATGGTTAATAGAGATAAGCTTTGGAAAGTTCTGTGTAAAAATGGAATTGAAGGAAAATTATATAGGGCAATAAAATCTATTTATCATTCAGTTAAATCTTGTGTTAGAACTTCAGAAGGTATGACAAACTATTTTATTGTGACAATGGACTTAAGCAAGGCTGTTTGATTTCTCCAACACTTTTCATTATCTATATAAATGAACTCATCATAAATTTGAAAAATAGTGAAATAAAAGGAGTTCAGTTATTTCCGGAAAATACAGAAATTCTGTCTCTACTTTTTGCAGATTATTTAGCCCTTATAAACGAAACAGTTGTAGGTTTACAAAGATTGCTTAATAAACTTAAACTTTTTTGTGATGAAAGTGGCTTAGAGGTGAATATTGAAAAAAACCAAGATATTAGTATTTAAAAAGGGAGGTAGACTTTCTAATAAAGAGAAATGGTATTATGATGGTAAACTACTGGAAACTGTTTCTAAATTTTCATATGTTGGTGTAACAATGTCAAGACAGATGTCAATATTTAAAATGGCTGATGAACAAGCCATTAAAGGAAAAAGAGTTCTTATTTCTATTTTATCAAATCTTTACAAATATGGTCAGCTTAAAAAACATGTATATTTTAATATATTTGATACTAAAATAGTTCCAATATTATGCTATGGATCTGAACTATGGGGGTCGATTGAACATAAAAGTATAGAAACCGTACATAATTATGCATGTAAAAGATACATGTGTGTTAAACAATCAACTGCAAATGCATCAGTTTTAGGAGATTGTGGCCGTTATCCATTGTACATAACTACTGCATCAAGAGTTTTAGTATATTGGTTAAAGATATTAAGTTTACCAAATGATCGATATGTCAAACAATGTTATAATATGTTACTTATATATGATAGGAATGGAATGAAAAATTGGGCTACTAACATTAAACAACTACTATATATACAAATGGTTTTGGGTATGTTTGGAATAACCAGGGAGTTGATGATAAGAAATTGTTCCTAAAAATATTTACAGATAGAATGAGAGATCAATATAGGCAGAACTGGCAAGAAAAAATAAATCAAAGTAAAAAGTTAGATTCATATCGTTTGTATAAATCTGAATTTATCCATGAGACATATTTATCTGTTGTTTTAATTCGTAAATTTAGAAATGCACTTGCAAAATTACGTACTTCATCACATGATTTAAATATTGAAAGAGGTAGATATAGACAAGAAGAGAGATCTGAGCGTATATGTAATTTATGTAAAGTTTCAGTAGAAACAGAATATCATTTTGTAATGATATGTACGGCTTATGAAAATTTAAGATCAAAATACTTACCAAGCAAATATTTTGTTAATCCTAATATTCATAAATTTAATATCTTAATGAGTTGTCAAGGCTGAAAATATTATAGAAATTTGGCAAAGTTTGTGTTCCATGCCTTGAAGAAAGAAAAAGATTATTATGTGTTAGAACATGAATAAATATGATAAACACCACTAGATAGTAAAAAGATTTTGTTTAACATAATGATATAATGTACTATATTCCATTGTATGAAATTGTATTGCTATGTTTATGTTGTTTTGGGCTAGAGGCCTTGAATCAATAAACTATTTGTCATTGTCATTGTCATTTAATATGCTTTCATATATAATCTTAATGTGGATTATATAACAAAATTATTGACTTAAGTGAGCCAATCTTTAAATATGATGTGATATTCACCGACATGTGACATGTTGACTGAGACTATAGCCGAGGTCAATATGATTTTGTGCCGGTGAATATCACATCTTATCACACACCCGTGCCGATTTTGCGACTCCGTAAATATGGTATTGCACGGCCGTGCATATATTTTGACGTGACGTCATTAGCGTTATACAAACATAGTGTAAAGACGCGCTAAATGTTAGCATTATACTGTAGGCGCTTCAATGAAAAATGACTCTTATTTCACTTTAAATGGTCTTTATTTTGGGTATGTGATAAATAGAATATTAAATTTGTGTAAGTTCATAACTGAAATTATTGCACTCGTTTAATAAAATAATTTTATGCTCACCAGAGGCTCGCATAATATAATTTTATTCAACTCATGCAATAAATTCGGTATTGAACTTACAGTCTCATTCAATATCCTCTATATATTCAATGGTTCACTTAGTCAAAAATTGTTTTATTACATAAATGAGCTAAGATTCTTTTAAAAAATCACAAAAAGCCTCTTTCATGTAACTGTGTAAAAAAAGATAACATCAGGCATTCAACAATTACGGAAATGTTCAGTGCAAATCAAAATAATTCAAATTTATATTCATCAAAGGGGTGAAACTTTAAACTATTATAGACAAGAGCCATGTCAACATGGCCATCCCCCGCCGAATGTGTTTGCTCATTGGAAGAATGTATATGTAGTAGAGCAGAATAATTCCATTTTAAGAGGTCTTTTGGTAATGAAAACTGATGGCTATAGTGATTACAGATTTGAAACCTATGTGAATACTGATGGCTGAAAATAACAAAGGGCAATAACTGAAAAATAATGCAGGGTAGGTTATCATTCTTGTGTGCTGCATCCCTCCTCAGTAAAATCTATCCACCTATGAAGTTTCAAGTTGATACCTCAAATACTTTTTGAGAAAAAAATTGAATTGAAAAATTAAGTATGAAAAATAACAAAGGGCAATAACTCAAAAAATATAAAAGGTAGAGTTATCATTCTTGTGCACTACACACCTCCTGAGTGAGCTCTATGCACCTATGAAGTTTCATTTTGATATCTCAAAGGCTTTTTGAGTTATGCTCTGGACAAAAATTAATTTTGAAAAAAAAAAAACAAAGGGCAATAACTCAAAAATAATGCAGGGTAGAGTTATCATTCTTAAGCACTGCACACCTTCTCAATGAGATCAATCCACCTTTGAAGTTTCAAGTTGATACCTCAAATACTTTTTGAAATAAGCTCTGGACAAAATAGCATGAAAAAAAAAACAAAGGGCAATAACTCAAAAATTGTATAGGGAAGAGTTATCATTCTTGTGCACAACATTCCTCCTCAATAAGATCTATCCACCTATGACATTTCATGTTGATATCTCAAACACATTTTGAGTTATGCTCCACTCAGGTGAAAAATTAGGTATGAAAAATAACAAAGGGCAATAACTCAAAAATTATGAAAGCTAGAGTTATCATTCTTGTGCACTGCACACCTCATGAGTGAGATCTATGCACCTATGAAGTTTCATTTTGATATCTCAAAGGCTTTTTGAGTTATGCTCTGGACAAAAATTAATTTTGAAAAAAAAAACAAAGGGCAATAACTCAAAAATAATGCAGGGTAGAGTTATCATTCTTAAGCACTGCACACCTCCTCAATGAGATCCATCCACCTTTGAAGTTTCAAGTTGATACCTCAAATACTTTTTGAGATAAGCTCTGGACAAAATAGCATGAAAAAAAAACAAAGGGCAGTAACTCAAAAATTGTATAGGGAAGAGTTATCATTCTTGTGCACAACTATCCTCCTCAATAAGATCTATCCACCTATGACATTTCATGTTGATATCTCAAACACATTTTGAGTTATGCTCCACTCAGGTGAAAAATTAGGTATGAAAAATAACAAAGGGCAATAACTCAAAAATTATGAAAGGTAGAGTATCATTCTTGTGTACTGCACACCTCATGAGTGAGATCTATGCACCTATGAAGTTTCATGTTAATATCTCATAGGCTTTTGGAGTTATGCTCTGGACAAAAATCAATTTTGAAAATTAACAAAGGGCAATAACTCAAAAATCATGCAAGGTAGAGTTATCATTCTTGTGCACTGCACTCCTCCACAATGAGGTCTATCCACCTATGAAGTTTCAAGTTGATAACTCAAATACTTTTAGAGATATGCTCCGGACAAAAATGTCGGACGGAAGGACGGAAGGTCGGACGGACGGACAGACTGACAGAGACTATTTCTATATCCTCCGCCGAAAATTTTCGGCAGGGGATAAAAAATGATGATAATTCAATGTAAAAAAATTTTGCCATAAAGAACAAAACGCAACAATTATATTTAGTATGCACATGTATAATTAACAGTCTATGATGTACAAGGCCATTGAATACGAGTATCGTTCTATTTTTAGATTGGGAAAATCTAATTCAGCCAGTGAATATGATTTTATAAATTGTTCTGCTACCCAATGCGATTGCAGCTGTATTTAGATCATATAATAATCCTATATCCTAAATTACTATCTTAAACATATATCTAAGTCTAAACAATAAAACTACATATACCTGAAACTAACAATTAGTCTGTTGCTTCTTGACAGATATAATTATAAAATTCATGGAATGCTCAAGTAAAAATATAATCAATTCTATGGGTAATGTACGCACAATTTTTTATTTGCTCTTATTGTTTTAATTTAAAGTAACAAGAAAGTTTCTGAAAACCAGAAATCATTCACATTAGAATTAAAAAATATCAAAAGCCAGTTTAGTCAACAAAGTTAACATTTTGTCATACATTGTTAATTAAAAATGAACTTTGATATGTTTATGAGAAGACACTAACTTATTAAAAGCTTATCTATCTTTGATTCTGTTGATAGTTTTTAAGGACTATACCATTTTAAAGAGACAAAGGCAGTCTACAGAGAAAAAGGTAATATTGCTGACTTCTAATTATTTACCCCTCACTACTGTTTGTTCAAATCCTGCAAGGGACTTGAGGTTATTTCATATGAAGAGGCACTGAATGTCTGCAGTTCTACTCTGCACCCTGTCAATTTACATTTAAAAAAATATAATCAGATTAAGATGCAAGATTTGCTTTTCCCTTTGTTAGATTTACTATCTTCACATTTCAAACATGAATCTTCCCTGATTTTTTCATTTGTTGCTGAAGATTCATCCCTTACTTTGTCATTTGTTAATACAGATTCATCCTTTTGTTTGTCAATTTTTGTCACAGATTCATCTTTATATTTGTCATCTGCTGTTGCATTTTCATCCCTGGGATTGTCCTTTGCTGATTCATCCCTGGGATTGTCCTTTGCTATCACAGATTTATCCCTCGGATTGTCATTTGCTGTCACAGATTTATCCCCGGGATTGTCCTTTGCTGTCACAGATTCATCCCTGTGATTGTCATTTGCTGTCACAGATTTATCCCTGGGATTGTCATTTGCTGATTTATCCCTGTGATTGTCATTTGCTGTCACGGATTTATCTTTGTGTTCATTATTTGTTATATCTGTTGCTTGTTTGCCATCTATAATAACTGCATCCAAATCAGAATTTGATATATGCCCATTTTTGAGATTCTGATAGGATGTGAGTGCTGTTTGAGATGCACTTTCAATTGCCTTGACATTAAGCAACATTGGAATAAGACTCTTCTTTTCATCCCTGAAAGATTTGACAAACATAAATGAAGAAGTGAAATAAATGCAAAAAGGTTGCATTAAATATCTATAAAACTAAGAAAGTATATGTGTTTGACTTTTAGTGAAGTAAGCTACTTAATATTACACAATTTTGTTAGTTAGGGGAGTGCACATTGATTAGGATATGGCATTTATGTTTCTTGGTCCTCTATTTCAAGGTTCTTTGTCTAGGTTGAAATAATATGTATATTACTAAAACAAGTTTTATTAAATTGTATTTTAAAAAAGCTTCCTATAATTTTTAAGTCATAATGAGATTGTTCCCTGGTCCATACTAACAAACAGAGAGAATTATTGTGGTTATTGTTATCTTTTGGATGTAAAAAAACAAGATATGTTTGTAAAACATGCATTTCTCCCTTGTCAGTATGTCACAGTTGCATATATTGTTGCTTGGAAACTATTTTGACATATATTCAAGGTCAAAGAGGCCTTGACCTTTGATACAACAAAATTCAAAAGAATGAACATTATGAAAATATAATCTGATAAACTTACTTTAATTCAACAAATGACTCAACTACATCATCTACAGCTTTTGATAAAGCAAAGTATTCAGCTCTTCTGCAGTAGAACCTGTTTGAATGCTCTAGTATACGTCGTTTCCCAAACACTGACACTTTTGTTACCTCAGGATTTTTACTTCCTTGAAAACATTGTTTCTCCAAATCAGACCAGACAATGTCTGTAACTGAAATATTATATGGCAATATCCTTGGGAAGAAAGGTCTGCCAGTAATTCCAGTTGCTTGTACCAAGTACAGTATATTTGTTACTAACGGTCTTTGTCTGCTGAGGGCAAGATGAAGTTCTTGCATGTGATGCTCATTCCTGAGAAAATCATTTGAAATAAATAAAACAATTTTCTTTGCTGTGTCTAGGGAGTTATATCTTTGTTGATCACCATGTGAGTATACACTCATGTTTAAATTTGGATATTTCTTGTCAAGCATTACGCAGAATGCTCCGGCTAGGTTGGTAGCATCGTTGGCATAACTGACTGCTATATCAATCTTTGTTGTGTCCTTAAACAGAAATTAAACCATTAATTAACTTGATTACAATAAATAAGTTTGTTTCTTTGGTTGGTTTTAGTGTCGCACCATCATAGTAGATAGCATAAGGTGACTTTCCAGCTTTATTGGTGGAGGAAGACATCTAGTGCCTCTCCATGCATAATTTCAGGCATGAGCGGGCACATGAGTAACACCACTGATATTCTGTAAGCTTAATGTATAGCTTCCTCACAAAAAAAAATTCCTGGATGGGTTTGAACCCACAGTGATGAGGGAAAAGTGATTTTAAGTAAATTACCTTAACCACTCAGCTAAGGACACCTTTAAATAAGTGAAAGATGTTCTGATTTACTGCATTATGCTTGATATATGATTTTTATCTACTGCTCATCTTATACTGATGTTTGACAATATTTCTATTAAACAAATTCATAAAAATCTTTTTTAAACAAGCAATTATCATAGTATTGCAAGCAATCCATAAGTCCCCTACCGGTAAGAGCCAAAGCAACATTCTGAAGGGCCATTCACTTATGTTTCTATTTTAAGTAAATTTGTTGAAAAAGTTCTTTAAAAGTGATCACAGTGAACAGTTTTTATGTAGAGACAGACAGACGGACTGAAGGACACTCTACAGTTATTTTTTAAACATCCCTGTTATCAAAATATAACATTTTTAAAAACAAAAATTTAAAAAAAAAAAGGAGATAACGATGTCATACATGATGTGAGTGTAACAAAGAACAATTAGTAATGAAGGTATGAATATTGAATGTTTATTTTGAATTTGAAGTAAATGAAAGTTAAAAGAACGAATAGGAAAAATTAAAAGTTTAAGGAGGAGATAATTCTGGAAATATGGATGCTAGATTTATAAACCTTGTCATATTATTATGATGTGGGAGTTTGAAGAAAATCCTATCATGATTGTAGAAGTTGGAGTAAAAATTACCAATTTCTCAAAAAAAAGTTCAAAAGGGGCATAATTCTGGAAATAGTCTTGCTATAGTATTGAACACTCACAAATGTTGAGTGATAATAAGAAACATTTATATGAAGAAGATACGTTCAGAAAAAAGAAGTTATTAAAAAAAACAATGCTTTTTTCATGAAAATTTTAAGTTCAAGGGAGGTAATTCTGATAAATTTTGTGCTAGAGTTGTAAACTTTGTCACATATGATGTGGTTGATGACTAGCAACTTATATTTAAAGTTTGAAGAAAATACCTTAAGAAATAAAGAACTTATAGTGAAAAAACTTAAAAACTAGAATCAGAAATCTTGATATTCAGTCTATTTGTTGCCATAGCAACCAGAATTTTCAATACAGGAAGATAAGAAAAGAATGTGCATAATTTCCATACTGCCATCTACCCATATGTCAAGTTTCATAAAAATATTTTCAGTACTTTTTGCGTTATCGCTGGATCCAGGTTACGTGTAAAATTTGCCATATTTTCAGTCTATTTGTTGCCATAGCAACCAGAATTTTCAGCATAGGAAAAAAAGAAAAAGATGTGCATACTCTCCATACTACCATCTATCCATGTATCAAGTTTCATAAAAATATTTTCAGTACTTTTTGTGGTATTGCAGGATCCAGGTTATGTGTAAAATTTGCCATATTTTTTAGTCTATTTGTTGCCATAGCAACCAGAATTTTCAACATAGGAAGAAAAGAAAAAGACGTGCATAATCTCCATACTGCCATCTATCCATATATCAAGTTTCATTAAAATATTTTCAGTACTTTTTGCGTTATCGCGGGATCCAGTTTTGTGGACGGACGGACTGACGGACGGACAGACGGACGGACGGACGTCCGGCCGAAATGGAATAAGGGGCCATTTCTTTTGTTATTTTCTATTGTTTAATAGAGGGCCAATGGCCCCTTACTCTATTGTTACGGAATGAACTCTATTGTTCTCTTTTGTTCTGTTTACAGTTAGATGGCCCCCTATCCCTTTTCGGTAGTGCGGACAGACGGACAGACGGACGGAGGGTAAACCTAAAGTCCCCTCCGGTAAACCGGTAGGGGACTAAAAATACATGTGTATATGCATTAGTCCAACATAAGCTTAAATAACATAAACTCTTACACATTGACTGTGAAATCATTAAATTTGAGGATATGGAATTTCGTGGTTTGCCAACAATTTCATGGGGCTGCAAATTCATGAAATTCAAATGCCAGGTAAAAAAAGAATGGGGCTCTATATTTGACAGACACATGATGATGTGTACTTTCATTTTGAATGTATGTAGTAAACAAACAAAATATGGGTACACCCCTGTATGAAATACTCATCAGTTGGTTTAGTTTCTGATACCTTTCTATGTTTATCATGGACTGAACATCTATATGTGGACTGAAAATCCATATGTTGACAGAACATCCATATGTTGACTGAATATCCATAAGTACACAAAAGATGCAGATACGCACATAACTTGTCTAAGAAGGATGTATGCAACAAGGAACTAAATCACACCCCTATCATCATTATATTGACTGATTGAGTATACTTAACATTATCTTGGGCACAATTTCTTCATCAGGATTTAATTTTGTAGTTATACTGTACCATGAAATTCACAACAACTAATCCCTCACAAATAATAATGATTTCACAGGGTATGCACTTAAAACATTTCTTTAACAGGGTATTTATCTAGATTTTACTTTACATTTCAATAAGTGTGACAGAGTATAAACTTACTATTTCATCAATATCTTCCTTAGGAACAACAACTGGTGTAATCCTTTCCAGGAGTTTATCATCGCCAGATCCAACCAGTTTGTACTGCATCTTTACATCTTCACACCGTTGTGCAGACAGTATTCTCTCTATATCTATAGCTTCCTAGAAATGAAAAAGTACTCATGGTTTTACAAGTAAAGATTATTCAAAGTTCCCATCTAAAACTCATACAAAGAGTGACAGTCATCTGAAAAAGTCATAATGTGTCTTAGAAGGCTTACAACTCAAGTCAATGCAATCACATAACCCTTGATTAATTGTTTAACAAGGCCATGCATCTCCTTGGATCTATAATAACATCATATCATTCTTATAATTCAGCAATAACACTTTTTGAAAACATTGGTCATGTATTTTTTGTCTACGATTACAAGCTCAAGGCTCATCATCAAATGTATCAGTACTGATTTTTAGCATGAAGTAAAACAATACCTGGCTTAAAGCTTTAATTGTAAACTGCCAAGCATAATAATTCTAGATTTAACCTAAATCAAATAGGTACATCTAAATATTTACATATAAAGTACAAAATGTATATTGAAAACTCTGTTATTCACATATAAAGTTTTTAAAATAAAAAAAATAATCTTGTACAAATGAAGTTTATTTTCAAAAAGTAAAAGTTATGGTGATAATTATTTTACCTGTACTCGATACATTGAGGGTCGTTTATCAGCTGTCAGTTTGAGCCATTCAATAACAGATGTAGCAAGCTGTGTAGCAAAGTTGGAATAATCCTCGGAGGCATCATTCATCTGTACTGTAGACATGTATGATGGTACCTCACTGAGTCCCTCAATACACACTGGTATCAACATTAAATCCTTATCCTGAAAGACAATTTACACTGGTATTAATTTATACTTAGTTTATACACATTTCAAAAGATGCAGGGTAAACCTAATGTTCCCTCAGGTTAAACCGGTAGGGGAAAAATAAACTATATATATTCCAGGGTTGATGATAATAAATCAGACTAGCAAACATCTATTATACATACCTTGCACATGTATCTAGCTACAGCTAGATTATATTCCTCCATGCATACAGTTGATGTGAGGTAAGTTGGTGATATTAAAGCAACAAAACATCTACATTCACCAACACTTTGATATAACATGTTCTGCCAATTGGTACCTGAAAATGATTATTTAACCTTTAGCCTTGTTAAATATTTATAACTGAGTTTTCCTATCTGTAATTCAAACCTAGTTAATATTTAATTAGCTTAATTTAATTAATTAAGATTAAATTAAAACTGGAGCTGTTAACGGATATTTCTCTTAAATATCTTAAACAGGCTTGCCCATACTTCAATCTGGGCTAAACCATTCATCATTTTTTGGGAAAATTTCAAAGTTTGTACCACTTGAATAACAGGCAGTACAGTCCATGATTGGACGGCATAGATGTGTAAGCTGGTCTTGGTTTAAACATAATTTATGATGATTCAATATATTTACACTTTTGCATGATGAACAATATTTTACGCAACACATGGGATTGGGCAGAAAGCTATGAAAGCTTATGAGTGTCCACTCCCTGGTCTTGGTATGTATTGGTTGTCTGGGTAATTTCAGATTTTCCCAGCAGGCTAAAGATTTAACCGCCAGTTTGACATATCTATACTTTTTTGACACCAAAATTAAACAATTGATCCTGCAGTGAGGGAACAGATTTGGAACAGATTTGTAACAGAGGTAACAGTTTGACTGATTTTCTTGCTATACTCCACCATTTTCCAGGGGTAGTTTGGAGCTCGTAACAATTCACTGGAACATAAATGAAAGGAGAACTAGAAATGTGTCCATAGGACACCGTGCCACTGTTCTGTCAATCTTATGACTCTAGGTCAAATATTTTCTGAAAACTAAAAATCTTTTACTAAGTTTGTTTGTTTTGGGTTTTACGTCACTTCAACACAGTATAGGTCATATCGCGACGTTCCAGCTTAACTGGTGGAGGAAGACCTCAGGTGCCCTTCTGTGCATTATTTCAGGCACGAACTGGCACCTGAGTAGAACCACCGACGTTCCGTAAGCTAGCTGGATAGCTTCCTCACATGACTTTTACTGAGTAAAGGGCAAGAACTTTACAAATACTGAATAAATCCACAAGCAAACCCCAAGGTGCATTAGTTCACAGGCTGACCACCATTCGTGTAAACTTTCAGGCCTACAAGTCAAATAATTTTTGAGCTATGCATGAACAAGTTGAAAATTGCAAATTTATACTACTGTAAGTCAAGGGCAATAACTCTAACAATAAGAGCCACCGCCAGGCGGGGGCAACGATCGACTTTTTACTTTTTCTAAATGCAAACATAGAAAGGTTTGAACATATATTAACATTTCCTTTTTGTGTCGCCTCTACGGAGTAGTGGCGACATATAGGGATCACTTCTCCGTCGTCTGTCTGTCTGTCTATCTGTCCGTCCGTCCGTCCGTCACAAAACTTGTCCGGACTACTCCTCATAACATACTGGTGCAATTTCATCCAAACGTTACAGGAATGATCAGTACCAAGTCTAGTTGTGCATATTGTCAGCATTTTCCGGTTCAATGATTTTTGTCAGAGTTATGGCCCTTTAATAATTTTTAATTTTAAAGTTTGTCCGGACTACTTCTCTTATACCACTAATGCAATTTCAATGAAACTTTACAGGATTGATCTGTAGCTCAAGTCCTTGAGCATATTGCACGGGTTTTCCAGTTGAATGATTTTTGGCAGAGTTATGGCCCTTTGATAAAAAGGTTTCTTTTTCTGTGTGTTGCCAGATACACAAAAGCTTGTCCGGACTACTCCTCATAAACTACTAGTGCAATTTCATCCAAACTTTACAGGAATGATCAGTACCAAGTCTTAGAAGTTGTGCATATTGTGAGCATTTTCCGGTTCAATGATTTTTGTTTGAGTGATGGCCCTTTAATAATTTTTATTTTTAAAGTTTGTCCGGACTACTTCTCTTATACCACTAATGCAATTTCAATGAAACTTTACAGGATTGATCTGTAGGTCAAGTCTTTGCGCATATTGCACGGGTTTTCCGGTTGAATGATTTTTGGCCGAGTTATGGCCCTTTGATAAATAGGTGTTTTTTTTTCTGTGTGTTGCCAGATACGCAAAAGCTTGTCCGGACTACTCCTCATAAACTACTGGTGCAATTTTATCTAAACTTTACAGGAATGATCAGTACCAAGTCTAGTTGTGCACTGTCCGTCTGTCTGTCTGTCTGTCACAAAATTTGTCCCAACATGAAATTGGCCATCATGACGCGACACATGTGATTACTGATCGCTCTTATTATAAATTTAGTTGGTCTGTCTTGTCACATTAGTTTTGTTTATATATTTTGTATATATATATGAATAGAAACATTGCACAATTTCTAAAAATAGCAACATTACGCAATTTCTAAAAATAGCAACATGACGCAATTTCTAAAAATAACAACTATGACGCAATTTCTATAAATAGCAACAATGACACAATTTCTCTTAATAGCAACAATGACGCAATTTCTATCAATAGCAACAATGACGCAATTTCTAAAAATAGAGACAATGACACAATTTCTATAAATAGCAACAATGATGAAATTTCTTAAAATAGCAACAATGGCGCAATTTCTAAAAATAGAAACAATGACGCAATTTCTAAAAATAGCAACAATGACGCAATTTCTAAAAAAAGCAACATTGACTCAATTTCTCAATGACGCAATTTCTAAAAATAGCAACAATGTCGCAATTTCTAAAAATAAAAACTATGACAAAATTTCTAAAAATAGAAACAATGACAAAATTTCTAAAAATAGAAACTATGACGCTAATTCTTAAAATAGCAACAATGACGCAATTTCTATAAATAGCACCAATGATGCAATTTCTAAAAATAGAAACAATGACGTAATTTCTAAAATAGAAACAATGACGCAATTTCTAAAAATAGAAACAATGACGCAATTTCTAAAAATAGAAACTATGACGCAATTTCTAAAAAATACAAAACATTGAAGCAATTTCTAAAAATAGCAACTATGACGCAATTTCTAAAAATAGTAACTATGACGCAATTTCTAAAAATAGCAACAATGATGCAATTTCTAAAAATAGAAACAATGACGCAATTTCTATCAATAGCACCAATGACGCAATTTCTAAAAATAGCACCAATGAAGCAATTTCTAAAAATAGCAACAATGACGCAAATTCTATTAATAGCAACAATGACGCAATTTCTAAAGATTAGAAATAATGACGCAATTTCTAAAAATAGCAACAATGATGCAAATTCTATTAATAGCAACAATGACGCAATTTCTAAAAATAGAAATAATGACGCAATTTCTAAAAATAGCAACTATGACGCAATTTCTAAAAATAGAAACAATGACGCAATTTCTAAAAATAGAAACTATGACGCAATTTCTAAAAATAGATACTATGACCCAATTTCTAAAAATAGAAACAATGATGCAATTTCTAAAAATAGCAACTATGACGCAATTTCTAAAAATAGAAACAATGACGCAATTTGTAAAAATAGAAACAATGACGCAATTCCAAAAAATAGCAACTATGATGCAATTTCTAAAAATAGAAACAATGATGCAATTTCTAAAAATAGCAACAATGACACAATTTCTATAAATAGCGCCAATGACGCAATTTCTTAAAATAGCAACAATGACGCAATTTCTAAAAATAGTCTGGTCCTTAAGAATGTTCTGTTATAATATGAAGTTGATCCCTTCAATAATAGCAAAGTTACAGTCAGTTACCGCCAAAACAATGAAAATTTCAATAATTTGACCTTCAAAGACAATGTCATTAATAAGTGAAGGTCAAGGTCTTTAGGTATATTTTTAACAGTTATCTTTGAAGATTATTATGTTCAAGTTTCAAGACAATCAATTCAAAAACAAGAGCTGTCACAGGAGACAGCGAAGCTCGACTAATAAAATACTGGACGCAGTAAGGAGGACAAAACTATGAAAGAAAAATCAATTATGTATAATTATGTATTAAGTAATAGTAAAAATATAACATTTGTTAACATAAATTCCAAGATCAAGGGGAATAATGCTAGAAATAGTCATGCTAGAGTTATGGACCTTGCCACACAACATTTGTGTAATGATAACAAATATATATTTGAAGTTTGAAGTAGATACCTTAAAAAGTAAAGAAGTTATTATATTTCTTAAAGAAAATCCTCAAAGAGAGATAAATCTGTAAATATTGCTTCAAGAGTTATGAACATTGTCACATAAAATGTAATTGATGATAAGGAATAAGTATTTGAAGTTTGAGGTAGATACCTTTAAAAATAAAAAAGTTATAATAAAAAATAACATTTTTCTAGTAAAAAAATCTAAGTTTATGGGGAGATAATTCTTGCAATATTGGTGCTAGAGTTATGAACCTTGTCACATAAGATGTGGATGATGATAACGTAAATATATTTAAAGTATAAGTTCAGATCCCTTTAGAAATAAATAAGTAACAGTAAAAAATAATATTTTTTACGGAAAATTCTAAGTTCAAAGGGAGATAAATCTGAAAATATTGGTGCTAGAGTTATGAACCTTGTCACATAAGATGGGGGTGACGATAACGTAAATATATTTGAAGTATGAAGTTGATCCCTTTAGAAATAAAGAAGAAACAGTAAGAAATAGTATTTTTTGAGGAAAATTCTAAGTTCAAGGGGAGATAAATCTGAAAATATTGGTGCTAGAGTTATGAACCTTATCACATAAGATGGGGATGATGATAAGGTACATATATTTGAAGTATGAGGTTGATCCCTTAAGAAATAAAGAAGTAACAGTAAAAAATAGAATTTTTTAAGGAAAATTTTAAGTTCAAGGGGAGATAAATCTGAAAATATTGGTGCTAGAGTTATGAACCTTGTCACATAAGATGTGGTTGATGATAAGGAACATATATTTGAAGTTTGAAGTTGATACCTTAAGAAATGACAAAGTTATAGTGAAAAATATTTTACTGCACCAAAACTTTAATCTAAAATCTGGACGCGGACGCCGACGTCGGGGCGAGTAGGACAGCTCTCCATATACTTCGTATAGTCGAGCTAATAACAAAGTTACAGCCAATAATAGCCAAAAAATGAAAATTTCAATAATTTGACCTTCAAAGTCAAGGTCATTTATGAGTGAAGGTCAAGGTCTGTCTAGTTTTTTTTAAGGGATATCCCTGAAGATAATTATGTTCAAGTTTGAAGACAATCCATTCAAAAATAACAAAGTTACAGCCAATATTAGCCCAAAAAATTGAAAATTTCAATAATTTGACCTTCAAAGTCAAGGTCATTTTTGAATGAAGGTCAAGGTCTGGCGGGTTATTTTTAAGAGATATCCTTGAAGATTATTATGTTCAAGTTTGAAGACAATCCATTCAAAAATAACAAAGTTACAGCCAATAACAGCATAAACAAGCAAAAATTGGACTTTTAACCTTGAAGGTCAAGGTCATTTATGGATGAAGGTCAAGGTTAGTGTGGTCTACTGAAAGGTCTTGTCCCAAGGGTTTTTGTGGCCAAGTATGAAGACAATACACCAAGAAATAAAAAAGTTATGATCCAGGTACAAGTTTGCGGATAGGCACGGCAACGGCAACGCCGACCTGACTATTACAATACCTCTACTTTTTTTTTCAAAAAAAAAAAAAAAGTCGAGCTAAAAATGAAAAAATCCACATGCAAAGTCCCAGGTTCATAGCTTCACAGAGATGTTAATCATTTTTCCTGTATTTTAGTGACGTTGATCATTATTCCTGTAAAGTTGGTTGATTCTAACTCAAGCAGTCGAGGAACAAATAACAACATAATGAAACAGTTTTTACTAAGTCAAGGGAAATAACTCTAAAAATACTGGAAAAATCTACAAGCGAAACCCCAGGTGCAAAACTTAATATGCTGAGCAACCTTCCCATAAGGTATAATGACTCTATGTCAAATCCTTTTTGAGTTACATGTGACACAAGTAGAAAATTGCAAAATTTTACTAAGTCAAGGGCAATAACTCTTTAAATACTAAAAATATCAAGACGAAAATACCCAGATGCACAACTTCACATGTTGATCAACATTCCTGTAAAGTTTCATGACTCTAGGGTAAATCCTTTTTTGGTTACATGCGACACAAGTTGAAAATTGCAAAATTTTACTAAGTCAAGGGCAATAATTCTAACAAGAGCTGTCGGTAGGACAGCAACGCTCAACTATTCTAGTGCTTGATAGTAAAAAATAATGCTTGATAGAGTTACCTACTCCTGTTTACAGGTTGGTGTCATGATGGTGAACAAGTATGCAAAGTTTCAAAGCCATATGTCAATGGACTTTGAAAATATTTGAGGTATTACAAAAAACTTTAACGTAAATTCTAAGTCAAAAAAGGGGCATAATTCTGTCAAAATGCTTGATAAAGTTACCTCCTCCTGTCTACAGGTTGGTGTCATGATGGTGAACAAGTGTGCAAAGTTTCAAAGCCATATGTCAATGGACTTTGAAAATATTTGAATATTACCAAAACTTTAACGTAAATTCTAAGTCGAAAAAGGGGCATAATTCTGTCAAAATGCTTGATAGAGTTACCTCCTCCTGTCTACAGGTTGGGGTCATGATGGTGAACAAGTGTGCAAAGTTTCAAAGCCATATGTCAATGGAATTTGAAAATATTTGAACTATTACAAAAACTTTAACATAAGTGGTTACGCCGTCGCCGATGCTCGGGTGACTACAATAGCTCTACTTATTCTTATCGAATAGTCGGGCATAAAATACTAAAAATATCCAGAAGAAAATACCCAGGTGCACAACTACACATGCTGATCAACATTCCTGTACAGTTTCATGACTCTAGATCAAATACTTTTCGAGTTACATGTGACACAAGTTGAAAATTGCAAAATTTTACTAAGTCAAGGGCAATTACTCTAAAAATACTAAAAATATCCAGACGAAAATACCCAGGTGCACAACTACACATGCTGATCAACATCCCTGTAAAGTTTGATGACTCTAGGTCAAATCCTTTTTGAGTTACATGCGACACAAGTCGAAAATTGCAAAATTTTACTAAGTCAAGGGCAGTAACTCTAATAATACTAAAAATATCCAGACGAAAATACCAAGGTGCACAACTACACATGCTGGTCAACATTCCTGTAAAGTTTCATGAATTTAGATAAAATACTTTTTGAGTTACATGCAACACAAAAGTGAAAGGACGGACGGACGTTCTCACAGGACAGTAATTATGTGGCTACTCTATTGTTCTCTCCATTGTTCTTTTTAGCCACACAAAAGAAAATAGCCACATAAAAGCATTACGGAATGAATGACATCAAAGAGAAAGAACAGTTACCTATTGTCCCTCTAGCCACATAATTACTCTCCTGTGAGTGCGAAGGACGGACGGACAAGGGTAAATCTAAATGCCCGCCACTAAAGTGGGGGCACAAAAACATACCTGTTGTTAAAGCACTGCGATCATAAAACACTTTACAATCAGCATCAATAGAATTGAAGGACTCAAGCAATGTTTCTGCATGGTGAGGGTTCTTGTGTGAGTAGGATATGAATACATCAAATTCAAACTTGTCATTCTGTTGCTTGTTGTTTGTTTCTAAAGCTGACTGTTTGATGTCTCCAGAATCATGTTGTTCTATGGACATTATGATGCTCTTACAGGCAGACTGTATCTTACCAACTGTTGTATCACCATCCTTCCTCACTCTGAAATTATAACATCATATCTCTTACTATTACCTAGGGCTGGGAACGAATAAGGAATTTGATGTTCGAATATTCGTTTTCCATATTCGAATATATTCGAATAATTGTTTTTACAACATTTGTTCCAATATTTCTCTTTGACGTATACGTATCGGAAATTGATTGCGTCGAATACTATACTACTTTAATATGCTTGGAATAATCGACGATTAAAAATACCTATATTACTACGTAAAAGTTTTTTTATTTTATGTATTGTAAATCGACATAAATGTTTACTTTTGAAATAAATTCATAATTTGATTGTCTTTTGTTCAGTTTATCCGACTGCTGATCATTTTTCTTATTAACGGGAGGTAATTCACTTAGTAATATGAATCACCGTAGCCTCTTAGCCCCAATAACACATAATTTATATTGATTAAATATATTTTTTTATTTATTTATAAATTTAGATGAGGTTTAAAATATTCTTCAGATAAATTTAGCTATAACGCAGTAAATATCACACGGAGTCTAGTTTCTACGGAATAAATATATTTTGACGGAATATAGACACTGACCATGCTTTCATAAAGTACCGATTGTACGTGTCGATTTTTTCGTCTTCACAAAATTTAAGACAATTACTGATTAATCGGAAAGATTATTGCACAGAAAACAATAAATAAGATAATTAAAATCGGAAATTTACATTATATTCTGTTAAACAGGTAAATTGCAAACTGTGAAACAGGTGCATTTTTGATCAACTAGACCCCAAAGTTTTCACAGTTAATTGGCGTTAATCGTTGACACGCGGCATACAAACGTGTGAACACCTGGTCAAGTAAAGGTCAATGGTTTAATTTACGATCTTTATTGAAATTTGAAAGAATTAACAACAAAAAAACATTCTTTTTTTTTTCGAATATTCGTATTCGTTTTTCAATGTTCGAATATTCGGTAGTGTTTCGAATATTCGAATATTCGAATATAATTCCCGGCCCTACTATTACCCTATGAATTGTGACTGACAAAACTGAAGATAAATATCAAATAAACATTTGAGCTTCCATTATATATCATTATAGAGGCAAATAGCAGCTTACAATGCTTTATTACATGCTTTTTAGTAGGCAGTGAAAATTACTAGTATATTCTAATAATTTCACAGTGGCATTATAAAATATATTTTCACAGTAGTTGGACTACATTTGAATGTACTGAAAATACATATACATGTAGATATATAACAAATAAGGGAAAATTCTGTCAGAATTATATTATTATATATTATAATTAGAGAATTAATGAGTTTCCTTTATCATAAAAAGGACATCATAATTTGCACATACCATCACTATTTGTAGGATTGTAACGATTTTTTTTCAGCAACAACAATGTGACAATGTGATTAATCATGAATGAGAGCACATGTCCATATGTGGCAAGAATTTGTAAAAATGACTGAAAACCACTAAAAAAACATCAAATAAATAAAAAAAAATGTTTGTTTTGTATGTAAAATCAAATTCATAATCAAAAACTCATTCATGAACACCAGTTCAAAATTTTTTCACTCATCACTATGCAACTCATGAAATATTACATCTGGTGTATATATTTTCACCTTACACAAACAAATATCCACTATTACAATGTATTAAGTTCCAGCTTGACCATCTACAACCTTCATCCTTGCAAATAAAATTAAAAACCCTTTGTATTTTTTAATTTAAAGTACCCAAGAAGGTGCAAATAGTGACAATTCATAAATGAAAATTAACCTGCAGTCTATCCATTGTACAAGCCCCATGTATGAGGGTAGAGATTTGATTGTGTCCACATAGAGAGGGGCTAGCACATCTACTCCTAGAAGTCTGTTACAACACATTGCCATATTGTACTGTTCTAAACACTCTGTACTCTCTAGAAATGCTGGTGATAAAATTGCTACAATTCTGAAAATAAATATTTACATCTCATCTGACATGTTCTGCAAAGTAAAGAAATATATTTATAACTTAATTAGAAATTATATTTCTATGTGATTCCTAGCACAATTTGAGATTAATACCTGTTAATACTTTCAAACTTTGATCAATTTTAGAATCAAAATACTTTATATGAGAAAATAGAGCAAGTAAATTACTTAAAACAAGTTGTTTTTCCAGACGTTTATTAAATAGTTAATTAATCTTAAATAAAAAAAATAATTTCAATCAGAATCTCATTGTTTCAAAAAACCTCAGTGGTGTCATTCTATTTATAAAAATTATCTGAATAAATATATCAATTCTAAATGAATGTCACTGATCACTGATAAAGATTATAAAGTTCAACTATATGATAAATCAATGCAATCAGTAGATACTTTCATAGTGTTTTAAGATTTTGGTGGTGAAATCAGAATAAGAAAATATCTATAAAAAGAAACATTGACTGTAGTCAAACATTAATTCATTTAATATGTAAGTTTAACAAAACCTTGACAAAAACATGATCTAGTTTCTTTCTGTTAACCTTTTACCCCATGAGCATATTGCGAAAAATGGCCGTTTTCATTGAAAAGCCTCCTGTAACAAGTTCAAACTGCTATGCAACTGTGAAAAATGTTTCAATACTAATGAAACTTGGCACAAATGTTGAATACACCATAGCCTCTGTAACAGCATGCTCAATAGTAAATTTCCTGTTACCATGGCAATGGGGGGACGTCTCAAAATTGCCAAAAAGCACTATTTTGCATTGTTTTTATCCATCAAAACTGATTTCAAAGTGCTGCAACTTCTCAATGAATTGAGATAGAGTAAAAGGCTTTTCAGCGTCGGTTACTAGTTACCCTAAGATCGACCTGAGGCCATTTTTAGCCTGTCACATGTCCAAAATTTTCTTGGAGATGTGGGGGACTCCGCTTTGTGACAGGTGAGCTAAAAATAATAGCAAATGTTAAAGTTCAGGACCTGGTTGTTTGACCTGTTGCTGTCAAGGAATTTTATTAATAAAAGTCAAGATTAAAATGAATTGTTAATAATACTTTAAAACTGCAGTAGAAATGCAACTTAATGGGTACAATATCACTCCAGCCTGTATTCTTATTCTAGTCAATAGAATTGCATAAAACAATTATCCTACCAATTACATACCGTTTACATGCCACCATCGTCTTAAATATACCATCCTGCCAAACTTTTTCCTCGTTGAAATGACTTGTGTTAGCATATAACTTAATGTCTTCTTTTTCATGCTGTAGATTCTTTTTTAATGTTTGCATATACCCATCATCTACAGGGTTGAACATGATGAACACATCAAATGTTTTTGTAAATATCCTTTTCTGAAAAAGATAATACTAAATTAAACTTAAAACAATAGTGCAAATTGTGAAAATATCATTCTAACACTATCGGAAATTTTTCTGTATAAACAAAGAAGGCCCGAAGCGTGCATTATTCTACAACAATGCACTTGCCGTTCTTATTATCTCCCTGTGTATTTTCACAATGAGGGCGCCATTTTTTTTAGAAAAATCAGATAAATAAAATAACAATTTTTGTCGAATTCTGTTGTGAACACTATCTAGAATGAAAGAAAATGGTCTAACTAAGAAAATGAATCCAAACACCAATATCTGTACTTCAGTCATTAACACTGTACAGACGTTTAAAATGTTGTTTATGTGACGTCACAGTGTAGCGCCAAATAGCATGCGCAAAACAAATCAAGTACGCTATTTAAATGTCGTAAACGAGTTAAGTTTTACATTTATTTCACTTTTTATAATTTGTATTTCGCTTGAAAAATTTAAAGTGAAATAAAATAAACAAACAAAGTTTTGTCAACATTTTCAAAATTCGTTATTCTTAAAATGTTTCTACACACAGTATATTTAACAACAGTTTTTTTCAACCCACTTGAACAGCCTTTAAAGAACTTTTTTATTAGAAACTCTGTCGAAAACAAATTTAACCACCAAACATAAAGTCCAACTTTATAATAATAATTATATTTTCTTGACGTGTCAGGATGGAAATAGATATTAATTCTTCGTGCATTATTGCATAATAATTTCATCCTATCAGCCTCCGTGATTATATTACTACGCATTTGAACTCAAATCATGCATGATTCTATAACAATGCACTCAGAATTGAATCTATTTTCTAATTAAAGAATCTTTTGCAGTTAAAAAAGTGGAAAAATTGTATTGTTGAACAATTTCTATAAAACTTATCAAAAATAATTCAGTAAGAAAAGCCTTTAGATTAGAAATATCAACCTTTTACATTAACACTTTTATGGTTTGATTTGAGAATAATTATGATGCTGACCTTAATTTTTCTTTCATCTTACCAATGCATACATTTATTGTTGGTCACAATAAATTCCTCTACAACCATCATACCCTTAGAAATAAGACCCAATGGAGTTAAAAGCTCAGTTAAAAGTCATTTCTCACGCCCCCTCCCTCCTCCAACCCATCAAACAAAAAAGACAGCTTGTATAACCTTACCTTCATAATTTCATTCTTTGCCATGTATTTAATTTTAAGAGCAGAAAATATGGTTCGAATGTCCTCGCTGATTTCCTCATAAATGACAAGTTTAAACTTTCGTAGAGGTAAACCAGCATTGATCCATTTAATGGCTGCCTCCACCATTGTTCCACATATAGTTTCTTATTGTGCCCTACAAAAAAATCATTAATCATCAAAGCGGGCACCCCTTTTGTAAAAAATATTTTTTTTAAAATTAAAAAAACATTAACAACATTTTAAAAACAAAAAAGGGCTTGCCATGGACCATGGCTCATCTGGGGGGCAAGCAGTTTTTAACTTTATTCTATTTTTTATGAAAACACCAAAAATTTTAAGCAGTCAAGCCATAAAGACATTTAAATTTTTTTCAGAAATTTTTTTGTACTTTTGTTGCTTGACTTTTTTCTTGTAGTTATGTAATTAGCAATAGTTAACATAAATCAGAATTTATTACTACTGCCAGCACATGCTACGAAAGACAAAATGTTTCAACTAGTGATGTTCCGATTGTCGCAAGTCGCCGATAATCAATTACTGTTATGTAAAACGACAATAATCGATTCACAAAAATTTGTTCCGCGACATCGTCAAAAATGTTTAAAGTATCAAAGGGAATTAATTCTGAGGGTAATTTTCCTTTAGGAACACATCGCCGATCGCAAAAAATCACTCAGAGACAATTTGGAGATGAACAGGATCAATAAGTGATGTAAACAATAGTAATATAATGTGTTTTAAAAAAATTTCTTATTTGGGAAAAAATTATAATTTAATTTTAAGGTTCAAACGGTTTTGAAAATGCTAAATGAAGTTCATTCCCAAATAAAAATTCAAGTGCCTTCGAAAAAATTTTATTTTCCCTACTTATTTTTTTTTAACCCGATTTTATTCAAAAAGTTATCGATTTGGGCCCCCATCCACTGAACCAAAATATCGTTTGGGAAAAAATTTCATCCGTTTTCCACATAGTTTAAAACACAATTTCTTTGTAACATTTGCCCTTTTAGTTCCCTATTCTTCTTTTTTAATTTTCAGACAAAATAAAATTTGTCACATTTTTCATAAACTTTTTTAAATTTTTTTTTAAAAACTGTCACTTTTAATTGACACATGTTCAAAAGGGTTTTTTTTGCCCCAAATTTAAAAGGGGTTATAGCCCCCTTTGGCCGACAAATTTCGGGGAAAAATTTTTTTTTTCTGTCTTTTTTTAGTTTGTCTGCTGGGGCATTTGTGTTTTATGAAAACATCTTATGCAAATATTCTCATTTGTACACAAAATTGATCCCTAGTTTGAAATAAGTGCCATGTTCAATGTTGCAAAGGAATGCAAGAATCCTAGCAGTGACCTCCACCTTTGACCCTGTGACATTTAAATTAGTCTTGAAGATACTTTGCAATTGAAAGTAATGATATTCACATCTTACCATTTCTGCTACAAGTTTATGTGAGTTATCATAGAATGAAGACAGGTCATTTTTTTAATTCACAATGTATCAATAAAACCACTGCATAATAAGAAAATTACCTTTTAGCAACAGCTTAACTGGCCTTTTTATGTCAAAAGCAACACTGCAGCTTCACTGATGTTGCCTCTAAAGTAATAACTTACATGAAAATTTTGATGAATTTAAAGTCTACATAAAATTTACCTGATGTCCTGTGGCAAGCAAAGGTGTAATTACAGAATGATCCTGGTTATTAAATACAGGCACAAATATTCGAAACATTTCACTTATCTGTGCAGAAACAGTCATTTGTGAGCCACGTCTCCTAAAATACAAACAATTTTATAACTGATCAATTAAGATTTTAATATTTATCTTAACCCTTTCACTGCCATAGGGACGGCATATGCCTTCCCTATTATTTTCAGCGTATTTGCCATATGGACGGCTTTTGCCATTTCTATAATAATTATAATAATAATAATAGATATAAAGATAATTATATAAAACGACAATAATTATTATATACTAGAAGATTTGGAAACATATATAATTATTATAATACTAATAACAAATAATAATAATTATATTAATTAATAATATATTAATTTCTTACAAAACCTTCTGGCAAATAGGTAATCAATAAATAAATAACCCTCTGGCAGCGAAAGGTTTAAAGACTAAGAGCATAATTATGACAATATAAAATTTCCTTGTTTTTAACCAGAAAAAGCAGACAATATGTACAACAAGACTTGTACTGATCATTTGAATGAAATTGCACCAGATGTTTCTGAAGATTAGTCTGTACACTTTTTTGTGACAGACAGACAGACAGACAGACAGACAGACAACAGAGAAGTGATCCCTATACGCTGCCGCTTCTTAGCAGTAGGCATTTAAGTTATTCCGGGTAATATCCAGACTTATATATTGATAAAGATATTTGGTTGGTAAAATATGCAAAAAAAAACAACTTGTTACATATTCAGTTAAAAGTTTGTTATAACCAGTAACAGGAGAACTTACTTTTCAAAGCAAAGAAGCTTCTTGAACGGGGAGCTAGTTTCTGTAATAGGTTTTGACAGCCAGCATGAGAAGAGAGCTCGTAAGTCCAACTCTTTGTCCATTGATAATTTCATTACGTTAATCCCTAGGTTTTTTTTAAGTGCCCCAAGAACTGTACCAGACATAGGTGCATAATCACCTGTAAGATAATTTTATAAGCAAAAGATAATAATCTGTAAATAAAGCCCATATCATTCATTACAGCTTCATGCTCAAACAATAAATACATCAACATCACAATTCAGAATCAAGGTTTAATAATATATAATTACTTATAGGCTGCTTGCCCATACAAAAATAAGAATACATAAACATTATTACAGGAATATGATACAAAATTGACAATACACCTTCTGACAAATATACAAAATAATAATTAGCATATCTTTTATCATTTCAAATTTGTTTTAAACCTCCACATGTATTTATGGTAGGTGAATTATAATGTAATAAACAAAAATGTTAGCAAAATATATTGTAAAAATTAAAGATGAAAAAATGTTTTTCACTTATACATGTATGTTTACAAAATAAACAAAATAATCAGGAAATTATCATATCTCAGCATTCTCATTACATCTGCTCAGCCATATTATGAGCAGTGTCATGTCAAAACCAACATAGTGTGTTTGCAACCAGCATGGATCAGGATCCATGCTGTTCACTATCAGCTTATCTACTTGTAAAAGGGTTGGTAAGCAAATAGCATGGATCCTGATCAGACTGAACAGGCTGGTCTGAATTCATGCTGGTCGCAAACGCATTACGTTGGCTTTGTCATGACGCGGCTCATATGCTTTATATGTAAAGACGTTGGTAGAACGTCATAATACCCATAATGAGCATTATAATATATGAAAACTAAAGGTGATTCACATAAAATAAGATCCAATATATAAGGGCATAAACCACTCTCGGTGGTGAGCTAACTTTTCACCGACAGGGTTTGTGTGCCTTCAAAACATTACATTTGGCCACCATTTGTAACGTTTTTAAGGCACACAAACCCTGTCAGTGAAAAATGTTAGCTTTTGTAAGGTTTGTGTGCCTTTAAAATGTTACAAACGGTGGCCAGTGTGGGGGATGTAGACAACTGCCGGACTGGAGATGTCGTACCCACAGATTTCCCAGGCCAAGTCTAGGGACAAGAGTCTTCTCAGAGGGGGAAAGTAATGTAAGAGCGTTGGTAGAACGTCATAATGAGCATGATAATATGCGAATACTTCAGTTGTTGAATTAAAACATAAGGGAATAGTTCCCGTATATAAGGACACAAACCACTCTCAGTGGAGAGCTAGCTTTTCAATAGGTTTGCGTGCCTTAAAAACGTTACACTTATTAGCATGCAGGATAATATGACATCCAGTATACTAATTACCTCTTAAACATTAACAAAATCTTACTCACGAACTGTCTAACTATTTCATTGGGAAACAATATAGTTTTATCAATTGTCTGTAAAGGGTGTCACCTTATATTATAATTGTTACAGGTTCCTGCAAAATTTCCATGGTCAATGAGGGGCTTACCTGGTATGTAAGAACTATATATTTTGCATTTAATGTCCAGTGACAAACATTTTTTTTCAATAACGATATAAAATACAAATACATTTAAGGGCTTCAAACAAATATCACTCACTGTAAATGTGAAATAGAATTTTTTATCTGTGACTTAACCATTTTTAAGGTTTCTTACGCAGTAAAACATACCAGTATATGCAGAGACCTCATGACAATATCCACCATGTCATCTTTTGATAACTGTGTTATATCTCCAGACAACAATTCAATCTGAGATGGTCCATTCCTTGTCCACAGCTCTATTACATCTTCAGGACGTCCCTGGAGACCAGACATTGTTTCCCACTACCACTGTTGCTAAATTCTATCATCAAAAATAGTTTCATGTTACATCATATGTAAACCTTTATATACAGTGCCCATCAAAAGTCTGGAGACAAGTCAATAAAAACAAGTATTCTTGGAAAATGCCCAATTTAATTCATTCTGAATGTATAATGATACATAATTATTCACTCATGTCACATATGATCACATAGAACAATGCACAACTTAGATTAAAAATATAAATGCCAAATTTTGTCTCATTTACCTAATAGCACAAAAAACCAACTAAAAGCAGTACAGAAAAAGATCACACAGTAAGTGCTTAGTGTGTCCGCCTCAAGCTGCCAAAATGGCTTGAATTCTTCTAGGTATCACTCTTAACTAATGTTCTACATCTATTAACTGTCCAAGTCATACCAGGAGTCACAAACATTAAAAGTTCTCTCAGATACCATGATGCTTGTTCCCGAGCTTCATTTTGATGTCATGCCACACTTTTTCGATAGGGTTTAGGTCTGGAGACTGGTGGCCAGTTCACCAAGCACCTAATGCTGTTCTAGGAGTGCCATTCTTTCACCTATTTTGGCCTGGTGGCTTGAACACCCATCATCTTGGTACCAGAACTCACTTCCATTCCCTAGCAGATGAGGCAATGGTATGGCACAATTGCTCAAAATGTCAATGTAAATTGGGAATTCAAGATTCAAAGCACGACCTTCAGAATACCAGGTCCTGGGTAGCTCATGGCACCCCATACCATGATTTCACCATTCTTTAAGTGTCACTGTTGACACAACACATTAATTTTGTCCAAAAGAGTTCACTTGACGTTGTCTGGCCTATGTTGACCTTGCTCTCATCGGTGAACAAAGCAGAAGTCCAATCCATCCCCATGTCCAGCCAGAATGTGCTCTAGCAAGAGCCAAATGCTTCCCTCTTATGACCATTGGTCAGTAGTGGCTTCTTAATGGCTTGATTGACTCTCTAATCCAACTTGCTGAAGTTGCGACAAACTATGGAATGTAAAGCATTAACTCCTGTCAATTCCCATGACCTCTTGAGCAATGGAA